AAGGTGACAATCAAGAACAAGTATCATCTTCCTCGGATTGATGATCTGTTGGATCAGCTCAGGGGTGCTTGTGTGTATTCCAAGATTGATCTCCGGTCCGGATACCATCAGATTCGGGTGAAGCCGGAGGATGTTCCGAAGACCGCGTTTCGTTCGAGATACGGTTATTTTGAGTATTTGGTGATTCCGTTTGGACTCACAAATGTGCCGGCAGTGTTCATGGATTACATGAACAGGATTTTCCAGCCGTATCTGGATCAGTTTGTGATTGTCTTCATTGATGATATTCTGATCTACTCCAAGACTGAGGAGGAGCATGCGGAGCATCTGAGGATAGTTCTGCAAGTGCTGAAGGAGAAAAAGCTTTATGCTAAACCTTCTAAGTGTGAGTTTTGGCTCAAATCAGTCAAGTTTATGGGGCATGTGATTTCAGCAGATGGAGTTACAGTGGATCCCAACAAGATTGAGGCCGTGTTGGATTGGGAGAGGCCCAAGACAGCTTCGGAGGTGAGGAGCTTCTTAGGTTTTGCCGGTTACTATCGGAGGTTCATCAAGGGTTTTTCCACGATGGTTCTCCCTTTGACTCGCCTTACCCGAAAGGAGACTCCATTTGTGTGGACTCACGAGTGTGAGGCGTGCTTCCAGGAGTTGAAGGAGAGATTGACTTCTTCACCTGTGTTGATCCTTCCTGATCCTGAGGAGCAGTTTGAGCTTTACTGTGATGCTTCTGGAAAGGGGCTGGGCTGTGTGCTGATGCAGTCTGGTAGAGCTGTTGCTTTTGCTTCGAGGCAGTTGAAGCCTCATGAGGAGAACTACCCGACTCATGATTTGGAGTTGGCTGCGATTGTGTTTGCTTTCAAGATTTGGAGGCATTATCTTTTTGGTTTGAGGTTTGTGGTGTTCAGTGACCATAAGAGTTTGAAGTACCTGTTCGATCAGAAGGAGTTGAACATGAGGCAGAGGAGATGGATGGAGTTCATAAAGGACTACGACTTTGAGCTAAGGTATCATCCTGGCAAGGCCAATGTGGTAGCCGATGCTTTGAGTCAGAAATCCAGTAGTTCATCCAGTTTGCTACTTGGTAACTTCGATGTGGTTGAGAAGTTTCGCCACTTGGCAGTGATCGCTCCGTGTGCGAGCGTACTTCTCGGGTTGGAAGCATCAGATGTTGTGAACGAGCTGCTAGAAAAGATCAAAGAGGCACAAGTTCAGAGAAAGTGTCTAGATTATGTGAAGAACCAAGACAGTGTGTCTTGGAATGATGATGGATTGTTGTTGTTCCAGCGGAGGATTGTGGTTCCTCGAGGTCCGTTGACAGGAGAGGTTATGGCAGAAGGCCATAAGAGTCAGTTTTCTATCCATCCTAGTGCTACTAAGATGTATCAAGACTTGAAGAAGAACTTCTGGTGGCCGGGCATGAAGAAAAATGTTGCTATCTTTGTGTCCAAGTGTTTGGTTTGCCAGAAGGTGAAGATTGAACACCAGAAGCCGTCTGGTAAACTTCAACCTCTTGAGATTCCGGAGTGGAAGTGGGAGAGCATTTCCATGGACTTCGTTGTGGGTTTGTCGAAGACTCAGGTTGGCTGTGACTCGATATGGGTCATTGTGGACAGACTGACGAAGTCTGCCCATTTTCTTCCAGTGAAGGTGAGCTTCTCTACAGAGCAGTTGGCCAGAATGTATGTTCGCGAGATGGTGAGGCTTCACGGGGTGCCCGTGAGTATCATCAGTGATAGGGACCCGAAGTTCACATCTCGGTTCTGGGAGGCGCTGCAGGGAGCTTTTGGTACACAGTTGAGATTGAGTACCGCCTATCACCCTCAGACTGATGGACAGACTGAGCGGACTATCCAGACCTTGGAAGACATGTTGCGGGCTTGCATGTTGGAGCAGGGCTCGGCATGGGATAGGTACCTTCCATTGGTGGAGTTTTCGTACAACAACAGTTTCCATGCTAGCCTGGGCATGGCACCCTACGAGGCACTCTACGGTAGGAGGTGTCGTACACCTACCTGCTGGTCGGAGGTTGGGGATCGTGAGTTGTTTGGCTTTGACTTTGTCCAAGATACCACCCTGCATATCCAGATGATCAGGGAAAAGCTGAAGCAGGTGCAGAATCGTCAGAAGAGCTACTACGATGTCAAGCATCGACCACTGGAGTTCAGTGAGGGTGAGCACGTGTTTGTGAGACTTTCACCTGTCACGGGTGTTGGACGGGCACTCGGAGTGAGGAAGCTGAGCCCGCGGTTTATTGGGCCATACCAGATTCTTGGTAGAGTAGGACCTGTTGCCTACCGGCTTGCCTTGCCCCCGAACCTGGCCAACATCCACGACGTGTTTCACGTGTCTCAGCTTCGGAGGTACATAGCAGATCCTAGGCACGTGGTGCAACCGGATGATGTGGAAGTTCGGGAGAACTTAAAGACTCCCGTCGGACCACTAAAGATTCTCGATCGTGGCGAGAAGCAGCTGAGGAGCAAGATCATTCTGATGGTCAAGGTGCAGTGGACCGGAAGGACTCCTGAGGAGTGTACTTGGGAGCGTGAGGACGAGCTTCTTCGGCAGTATCCCGAGTTTCGACCATGTATGTTTCTGATTTTGAGGTCAAAATCCTAAAAAGGTGGGGTGAATGTAAGAACCCGCACCGTTAATTAAGGTATTTAATTAATAAATTACGAGAAAATGGGAAATGATTCCATAATTGACCCTAATAATTATTTATGAGGCTTAATAATCGCAATAAGTGATTAAGAATGCTGAAAGTCGCTTTTCGGAAGAAAAGTGCAGATACCGGTTCTGCTAGTCGGTATAAATGCGTACCAAAAAAGTATCCCGGAAAATTAATGTAGGTGCTTGATAATTACTGGAATAATATGTAGGATTTGTAAAACGAGTTTCAAGTCCAGATAATGAGAACTGGTGCTGGAAACCGGTACTGGCTTGGAAAAGCGGCGTACCGAAAAAGTGCTCAGAAAATTATAAGAAAAATATGATAAATCTTAGAAAATTATGTAGTTTCATAATCCAAAGTTTGGAATTAAAATGCTAAGCGTAGCAATTAAAGTTAATACTGTGTGTTAATCTTTAAGTGGGCTATATAAGCCTTAGTGGGCATTAAACCCTATGCCATATTACATTCTCTACGTGAGTTTGGAGCTGGTGGCTGCTACCTTGGCCTTCTCCACCTTTGTGTAACCTCTCTTGTAGCCTTTCTTCCCTTTTTCTTCACTAAAACACCTTGGGTGAGTGGGAATCATCCTTGTGAGTGAAAGGTGAGCACCTTTTCTGAGTTGTGGTGGCTGTGGGAGCTGAGGTGTTTTCCGTCTCTCGACTTTTTTTTGTCTCTCTCTTCTCTTCATATAGCTTCGAATATACTCTACATACTTTTATATGCAGTGTTGATGCCGGTCCAGTGGACCTATAAATTGTTAAATCAATCATATAACCAGTTCGGGTAAGTAGCGGATCGGCCAAGCATTGAAATTGGTGTAATACAGCCGATTTTGGTAAAAATCTGTGACCGAGTCGGTTCAACCGATTACCTGATTAGGTTCATAAAAAAAAATTCAGAAGCATAGGATACCATTTTTTAAAATTTACAAATCATTTGTTTTTTTTTTTTTTAAATATTTGAGTGATTTGTTGCTTATTACCTTACATAAGTTATATATCTACAATACTAATATTATCTTGTTTATGCATTATGCAAGATATTTTGATTTAATTTATGGGATAGGATATTGTGACACCCAAGTTATGTTACACCCATGTGACACTCAGTCAATCTCACCGTTAGATCGCTTATGTTGATCCAACGATTATATTTATTTCCATCTTTGTATGGTCATGATTTCCCAAATTTAAAGTGAAAGCATTAAATATGGGAAATCATAACCATACAAAGGTAGAAATAAATATAAAATATTAAATTTGGGAAATCACGACCATACAAAGATGGAAATAAATATAACCGTTGGATCAACATAAGCGATCTAACGGTGAGATTGAATGGGTGTCACATAGATGTAACATAACTTGGGTGTCACAATATCCTATCCCTTAATTTATAGCTAGAGATGTATAAGTATTGTATGTTTGTTTGATCATTTATTGAGTAATAATGTATGATTTATTATTTTTCATATTAAAATATTTGAAATTGATATTAATTTTTTACAGATATTTAAATATGTTTATATTTTTTTAAGGGCTTGGTGTTTGTCATTTTAAATGACATAAGTTATGTCATTTTAAATGACATAAGTTATGTCATTTTAGGAGAAAGATAGACACAGAAAATGAAAATCATGAGAGAGAGAAAGTGAGTGGTTTTTTTAATTTAAAATTTAAATAAAAATTTATTCTGTGTCTATCTCTCTCTTAAAATGACATAACTTTATGTCATTTAAAATGACAAATATTTTTCCTTTTTTTAATATAAGTTATAAATTTGCCATACTTGCCGCATCATCAGTTAAACTAGTAACTCGTTACTTGAATCAATCACTCAATAATCCCATACTCGACCATGTCAATATAATAACATATACATTTAGTTATTTCCCTCAACATTAAAAACTTTAAACCGATTTAAAAATCGCCGTTGACTCTAACTAAGTTCTGATTTGGTTTTGATTTTCATGAATGGCTTTAATGTTTCTAAAGTGAATGTAGATAAGTTATCTACATTCGCTCTCAAAACGACGTTGTTTTGAGTCAAAAAATCAAAAAATCATAAAGAAAAAGACTATTATAATCCTGAAATAAATTATAATTACAAAAATATCTTGATTTCTGCCTCAAAACAACGTCGTTTTGGGTTTAATGTAGATAAATTATCTACATTAACGGTAAAAAAAATGAAATATATAACAATTTTATTTAAGGCAAACATAACAATTTATCAGTAGTGACCAACCTGAAATGGGCCTTTATATGGGCCGAACGAGGCCCATCACCACAAAACCCATACACATGGTGCTGAAGTTTCCGCCTTATAAACTTTTTTTTTTCTCAGAAACCCTTAACCCCTTAAAACGCGTTGCAGCCGCGCCCCCAATTTTCTAGGGTTCTCCCATCTTTCCTCGTACCCTTCGAAAATGGTACTCTCTCTCTCTTCTTCTTGTTGATTTCTGGAATTTTAAGGATTTAGATCTCCTAACCTCGTACTGATTAGAGATTTGAACATGGTTGTGTTATTTATGGGTTTATGTTTTGTGATGTTAATGTGCAGACCAAGAGAACCAAGAAGGCCGGTATTGTTGGAAAATACGGTATGTGGTTGCATTAGTTTGTGAAAAAATTTGGTTTTTTTCCCAATTTTTTTTTTGTAGAAAGAGCTTGTATTGTTGTTAATGTTGGATAGGTGAAATTGGAGGAGAAGAAGGTTAATTACTTAATTAAAATTGTTTTTCTAATTTTGTCCGAAATATTAGATGTGAATTAAATTTACATTTTGAGCATACTTTTCTATTTTTTAGTTTGTAGTTGATATACATTTTTGTTTTTTTCCATAGTATGGCTGCATTGTTTTATCCTGTTAGATTATTTCAAGCTAATGAATTAGAACAAAATGGATTATGTTTGCATTGTTGGAGAGGGGTGACATCATTTGTTTTTATTTGGTTTGTGTATTATATCCATAAAGTATAAAAGGGCAGCGCAGTGCTATAAAACCCCCATTTTTGGCCCCCAGTATAGTAGTATATAGTTTTTGAGTTAGGTTATAGTTACAACCTTTTTTGTTTCCTTGCAATCACTTTGTTACATTTAGATCAAAATCAGAATAACATGTTATTTTGTAACCCCTAATTTAATTTTGATCAAACATAAAATATAGTTGTAAGGAAAAAGAGGTTTTAAGTATAACCTTCATCTAGTTTTTTAGAAAAATTATGTATTAAATGTGGAAAGCTTCATGTATCAAATCGTGATTTATTTCAATGTTGAGTGATATGCAGACTGTTTATTTTTATATTTTTTGGGTGCTTTATGAGGTTGTGTCTGGCATATTTATGTTATTTTGTGTCTGTGTTAATAAGTGAAGCGATAACTTATTGCTCTCAAATTTCAGGCACCCGATATGGTGCTAGTCTGAGGAAGCAAATTAAGAAGATGGAAGTGAGTCAACACAGTAAATTCTTCTGTGAGTTTTGTGGAAAGGTATAACTTAATCTGTTTTAATGTTTTTTGTGATAGCTGTTGAGTATTGACTAGGGCCTAAGATCATTATTAATGATATGTTGTTCATATAGTATGCTGTTAAGAGGAAGGCTGTGGGTATTTGGGGTTGCAAAGATTGTGGAAAAGTGAAAGCCGGAGGTGCTTACACATTGAAGTAAGAATTTTCCTCTAGTATATTTTTCTATTTAATTATTTTATTTTTTTAATGGTGAGTGAGGATGTGATTTGTTCATTCATATTATTCTTGACAGTACTGCCAGTGCTGTGACTGTCCGAAGCACTATTCGAAGGCTGAGAGAGCAGACTGAAAGCTGAGAGCAATTTACAATATTCATTTTGTTTTCAAATCCTATGCATAAATTTTGTTGCTTATTTAAAATTGTCACATTATTTTTGGATAGTTTGATGAAGAATAGAACTTTGTAAGGGTTTTGTTAAGTATTTTAGTAATATTACTTCAGATATTCGAATGCTACCATTACGTTTTTGTAGTCTTGCTTCATCTGATGGGGAATGAGTCAGTTTCTGTTTATGCTTCTGCTTCTCGTTCTATTATTACCTTATGTTGTTGTTTTTTTTTTCCTGCATATACGAGGAAGTTATATCTACTGATTTCTTCTTCTTCACATGACCACTATGTTATAATTTACACATGCATGGTAATATTTTGGGTAAAATACATTTTAGCTCGTTTAAGTAAAAATTTCTCAACATAAAGTTTTCTTACCGTAGAATTCTTGATGTCTTATATTAAGTAAACCGTATTTCTTTAAATGGTCTGATAATATATGATTGAGTATAATAAAAAAATAGACCGTGGTTTAAAATCAAATGTAACAACGATTTCCTAATGTTTTGTTAATACGTAGGACATCTTAAATTTCTTGGATTCAAATAATTCTCAAATACATTTTGATAAGCCGTAGATTAGCTGCGTTGGCATCCACAATGCCCATTTACTTTGGGTTCATGTTTAACTTTTTAAAGGAAAGTCCTTGTGGTTATTGTTTGTTATGGCATGAGATGGTCAAGTCAATATTAAACTAAGTATATATAAAGAATGCACAACTATATACCATAACAATAAAAAGAAAAGAAAGTTAAGAAGGGAGGCAGGAGCTGTAGTGAGGGTTGACTAAATGAGAGTAAAGTGTCTATATGACACTGGATGGTGAACTGGTGTTAAACTCAAGCTCAATGTTTCTTATTTAATTGTAATTTTGGTCTGTTTATATGGTCAATGATTTACATACGCAGCTTGATAATTGACAAAGTACTATTTAGTTCATTAGTAACTTCTACTAGTAATTAGAAGGTAGACTAGAGGGGAGACTTGACTTTGTTAATTAAAAAGTTTGGGAGATTTGATTGCTGTGAAATTATTAGGGAGATCAAAATCATATATTGATTTACAAATGCCAAAGGAGGTTGGTTCAAGGGGGTACATATTTGATTTCGCTTAAATAAAGTCTTGAGTTCAAGTTCTCAGTATCTAAAGTTTTAATGAATCCTATTAATTCGATTTCAGATTTGAGTCTCTTTATCCTTTCCAAGAGTTTTAACCATCTGGAATCAAATCCATTGAGCCTTTGTTTTTTAAATTAAGAGTCCGAGAGTCTCTTTGGTAGGGCAAGTGAGTTGCTATTTAAATAGATAGGTAAGTGACATACTATAATGTAAAAGGAATCCCAATTCACTCAGTCATCTATCTGAATTTACTGTTCGTTCTCAGTGAGTTTATAACCTCAAAATATGTAACTGAAGTTCAGAATACATCGGTCGATAAGATATGAATTTTCCTCCAATATATGAATTTTCCTTTGTTATATCAAACATGTGAAACTGAGCTCTAATAAGGAAGTCCAACTCAATCATGCATGCAAGTGCAAAAATTAATACTTCTCTAATGAATTTTTTTATTTAAGTAATGAAGGTTTAAAATGATATTAGCTACAATGATATATGGAACTTAATATTGGCTAGCACATGGGTAATATAAGCATAAAATAAAAGTAGCAGAAATAAATATGTTAAGAAAGATCTATGGTCATATAAGAATGATAAGAGAAAGAAAGATATTCGACAAAAGGTAAGAGTAATATCAGTGGTTGATAAGATAAGAGAATATACATTGAGGTAGTTTAGACACATGATGCTCTAGCTCTAGATGCTCTTATAAGAACATAAATTTATTATCAAAAGCTTAACACAAACATAGTAAAACAAATTAATAGAAGCTATTAATATTGTGAAGGGTTAAATTCATTTTTATTCCTATATTCTAAATTGTCCTTTTTTAATCCTTTTTCCTTATATCTCCTTTATTTATTTTTTTATCTTTCTTTTTTCTCTCTTTTTCCTTTTTATATTTTTTTCTTATTTATTTATTTATCTTTTTTTTCCTTTTATTTTTACTTTATTTTATTTTTTAATAATTCATTACTATTTTTTGATTTCTAATATTATTTATATTTTGTATCTAAATTCATCTGTTACCAATTCCAACTAATTTAAAATAAAAAATATTATTAATATTAAACATAATAAAGATATAAATAAATAAAATAAAAGTTGAAAATAATAACCATCCACTACAATAACTAAAAAATTAAACAAATTACTATAATGCTTATCCCATAACAAAACCATCTAAAACTATCCATTAACGTGTCCGTAACAAAATCCCCTTAGCTACTAAAAGATAAAGTAAATTCACTATTTTAGCTTACACATTAAATGCAGTTTAGAATATAGAGCTGCAAACCATAGCCACACTGATTTGGTTGGCTATTCTCACATGCTGTCCCGCTTTCCACAGATGCAACCCAAAAAATAAAGAGCATTTTATTTAGTTACATTCAAGGAAAACATCACACCCAAATCTTTGCAAATTGAACTACAAGCTCGTTAACAGGTATTATACAACATATCTCATTCCAAAGTCAGATCAAGCAAATATCAATTTGGGAAAATAGTACATTTTATAATAGATGTTTCTCCTCTCCTTATTATACCAAGCAATCTTACAACAGTAACTGGGTTCAGGTTTCACCCGCACTCCAGTATTTACATCTACGTGAATTTATAAAATGTAGGCAAAAAGGGGGGGGGGGGGAAACATATAGTTTTACCAAATGGACGCCATCATCCTTCCTTCCTCCCTCTATACAAGACTCATAGCAGATAGATAATAAATCTGCTTGCTTTTAGCCAGCTACCATGGAGATGATGGCAATGTACACGAAGCAGTTTAAACTAGAAAAATTGCAGTTGATAACCTCATACAATGGCAATTGGGATGCGCTCACTGTTAACATTATGACGCATTTGCTTTTGCACAGCCTTGACAGCAGCTACTCTAGCTGCATTGGCTGCTCTATTAGCGGCTGCTACTGCTCTATTCACCCTTTCATCTACCTTGGCCACATCATAGGCCTTCTCAGCTGCTCTTCTTGCTTCCTGTTCGTTCACAAAGAAACACATAATTAATAACGAAAGCTCTAAATGCTGCAAACGATCTAACTGTTTGCAGCTTATTTTTTTGCTTCTTTCCTTTTACACAAAGGTGCTAATTTGATCCATTTTGAAAGAAAATGTCCCACTACCTGTCCATACTCTCAGCTTTTACAATAAGGAAAATGCTAGTCACCCAGAATTTTTGACTGAATGAGTTAGCATTTCTTACCGACTATAATCCTACCACTTTATCTTATCCAACAACAACCATTAAATCCAGCTGAATCCTGTCAAAATTCTGGCTATTTTTTCATGGATGTGTAGCACAAATTTTTTTTGTTTCCTTGTAAATTCATTTAAAGAATCCATCATATGCAGTGATAAGAAACCAACCTTGAAAATATCTACTTTATCAGAATTTCAAATAACTCAAATCATCGAAAGCACATAAATGAAGTAGATCACATTTCACATCATATGTCATTGCCAGTTGCTGTGAATATGGGCAATGACAGAATTATGTCTCAATCTTTTCTGCGAGTAACTTTGCATGGGTAAAATGCTTATGTTACTCGCAGAAAAGATCGAGACATAATTCTGTCATTGCCCATATTCACAGCAACTGGCAATGACAAAATCATTCAAACTGATAAATCTAGGCCAATATGTAGACATAAAAGAGATAAAATTTAAAATCATTCATCTTTTTCCTATAATTATAACTTGGGAAAGAAAATTTACCAATAAATTAAGGCAAACAAAATCATAAACATAGAGCATACCTGCACCACATTAAGTACTTTGGAGTGATTGACACCAACAGGAGAAACTGGATAGGTGGTGTTCTGTGTGCTTGGAATGTCAAGGACTCCATTTTGCCAGTGACCAGATTGGGTTTCCCCATTTCTAAATGAATACATTCCGAGCCCTTGCCTTTTGCCCTCGTGCCAGGATCCTTCGTAACGATGGCCATTTGCAAAACAATATACCCCAAACCCATGCATCTTGTCCGCAAAGTATTCACCAGCATATGTATCCCCATTTCTAATAAAACAGAAATAATTAGTTCCAACAAAAATATAACATTATACTTTTACTGGTGAGCAAAGAAAAAAAGAGGCAGACAATGCCCTACACCATTCAATTCAACAACAATGCACTAATGGTTATTCTTTAGAAGAGAGGATGCATTCATGCATAATACGATTAAGCATCAATTTCATTAAATGCATGCCCAGGATCCTACTCACTGATACTGACAGCACAGTCAGTTTTGCAATGAAAAACAGATGGTATATATGTGTAAGATGTTCAACAAAGGGCACTGATCAGAGAGAAGATAGACACTTTGTTTTTCCTAACTGTTTTCATTAAGTAGATTAAAAAGGGGATAAAAGACAGAGAGACAAGAAAATCACCACACTAAGATTACCAGCAAGTGATAAATTACATAACATCACAACGGTTGGAGTTGTTGCTATGTGACCTGGAGGTCACAAGCTCAGGTCGTGGAATTACCCTCTAGCAAGGAACGAGATCATTTGTCCTTTCAGTCATTTGACGAGTTCTTAGTTATATAATAGATTGCTCTAAAGTGTTTTTTTCAAGCTTTGAGAGGTATGAAGCACCTTTGAAACAAAACCCAGCCTTAGGATCAGTTTAAATATTTCAATTTTTCTACATTTTAGTAATTATATTTGTCTACTATATTTTTAATACACAAAATCTACAACCTTAAATATTTGTGTCAAAATCCACCAGCTTGGAATTGGTTAAAAATATAAATCCAATTACAATAAAAAGGTTGATAAAACACAGATTAACAGGTTTTACTTGGCCAATTCAGGTGAGATTCACTGTTCTTATGGCCTTATGCTTATATATTCCTGATTTAGTAAACCTCCAAAGCTAACAAGACTAACCCCTTTAACATCCAAAATCAAAACTTATTCCACCAAGGGCCAAGCTGAGTCAACTACTCATATCAATAAAGTACAGAATATTAGCATAATTGATAATTCAGATAAAACAAAGATAATATTAAAAATATAAAATCAAAGAGGAAATTATTTGATCTTTCATTCGGATGAAACAAAAGGAATATAAAATAACAAGGAAATCATGCATTCCCTCAAAACGGGTTTCTACTCTCCTATTGGTCTTTCTTCCTAAGTGGACATACATAGGAGGACTTAAAAAGATTGTTTATTAATATAATGAAGATGAACTCACATTCTTACCAATTAATCATCAAGAGACCACCTCAAAAGCATATACAACAATCAGTATCACAAAATGATTTCTATCACCTCCTTTTCCTTTATCATCCGATAGAAGAAAAGTCTCTTTATTTCACACAAATACTTAACAAGAATACATATAGTTATAATCACTAAAATGTGTTATCCATCAATTTTATTCCATTCCTTATTGAAAATTATACAGACTTCACCCTTCCATTCCATTCCAAATCTACTGATTCAAACAAGTTCTGAAATGATTGTATTAGCAACCCCATAATTAAGAAGAATAGGAGGAATGATGACAGTAGCTAGTTGGAGAATATTCCAACAGAATTTAAGTAGCATTTAGTTAGAAGAAAAGGGAGGTAAGATGTAAGAATAAAAGGAGGAGGAGAGGAGAAGGAAGGCCTTGTTCAGTTAGACAATACTGAGGGCCAGGGAATTTGCATCCTCTGGAGTTAGAGGGGCAGAGAGCAATCTTCGTAAAATTCTATCTCATCTACCTACAATATTCATTCTTGATCTTAAGGGAGAAGCTATATCAAATAATATTCCAGTTCTTTCTTAGTTTTTTCTTGCATTCTTGAACCAGCTTCTATCAGATTGCTCTAACAGATCTCTTTACACCATGATGAGTGTACGAAGCATATGTTCTTCTACTAAAGTTTTTAAGGCTCCCCGACAAAATTGTACTTGCTACTTACTTGACATTTACTGCTTTAAAATCTAAAATGTAGTATGATAAGAGGTAAGAATTTCCAGACTGATTTATAAAGTAAAAACTTATTTATTTGCATCAGATTAGTAGTCAGGCACCATGCATTGGATGTGGCTTTCCATATACTAGCAGTAAACTTGCACAGAGAACGGCCATCTCCTTTTTTGTTCCCTCTTCCTTTCTTCTTCTATCCCCACATGTGACAGGTGCTTATGAACCAAAAATCTCAGTCATAGGCCATCTATTCAAACAAATTTGACTTAATTCATGCTTATGAGATTCTATGCTTAACGCATCTCTTATTTGATTTTAATATTGAACTCCCATTTATTTATTTCCACGCAGCTAGTTGGTTGGCAGCCAAATGCCAATGCAGGCAACAGAGACTATCATTAGCATACTATCTGATGAGTACTAAGTTTATTTCTTACAACTCATTTCCTTCCAGGAAAAGGCTAAAGGTATGTTAAAAATGAACATCCTCAAAAGTCTCAAAACAATGGTTTCGTAATGAGTGCATGACGTATTTTGCTCAACACTTGTCACCAATGGGGAAACTGAAAGGCCAAAACTGAGTAATTCCAAAAGCCTATGGGGTATTTTTGACAAAACCAAAGTTACAACAGAAGCCAATTAAAGTCATTCTGCATATTTTATCCCCTATGCATACACTCAACAATAAAAAATGCACAAAATGACTTCTCTTCCAAGATCACGAACCTAAAATAACCCACAGGCATAAAGTATATCAGCAAATCAAGTATCAATATCCCACCAAAGCAACTCATAAAAGGCTCATATATAACTCTAACAATCAAAACAGGCACATAATCAGTTTCCATACAATAAAAAATCCGCCATAACATCATGCTTGATTTCCAAATGCTAAACACAAAACCCCCTCTAAATGCGAATAATCCTACAAATGAAAAGATAACATAACATCTCTTTATCCCAAACTATAATTAGTTGGGCAGGCAGGCAAGGCAAGCAACCAATAAACCCATATAAAAGCAAGAATCAATCTTATTTCATATAAACATACCTAAAATGATAGTGGCCAAGTCCATGCTTAACGCCCCACTTGAACTCCCCAACATATCTACTCCCATCATCACAAGTGTGAACTCCACATCCATGACTCTGTCCACTGTTCCATTCCCCAGCATAAACATCACCAGTATAAAACCTATACACACCAAACCCATGCCTCAAACCCTGCCTATACTGCCCTCTATACCTACTCCCCCTAGCCCAAGTCTCAACCCCATACCCATCATACTTCCCATCAACCCAATCCCCTTCATACCTCCCAGTCATGCTGTAATAATACACCCCACTCCCAGAACACTTCCCCTTATGAAACTCCCCCTCATATACGTCGCCGTTTGCATATGCCTGCACCCAAAACCCACCGGCCGCTGCTGCGGCAACGGCACCGTTCTTTTCTCTCCGGCCAATTGTCCAGAAAACCGGAAGCTGCCGCACGCCGCTGCCGCGGCAGCAGGAATAGGATTTGAGGTTGATTGGGAGAGAGAGGGAACGAGAGAGGAAGAGGCGAATGGAAGGTAAACGAGGAACGGCGAGGTTGAGAGAGAAGAGAAGCGCGGCGGAGAAGGCGAAAGCGGAGAGGAAATCGAGGAAGAAGGAGTTGGTTGGGTGGGAGACGAGGAAGTAGAAGAAGGGGAGGAAGAGGAGGAGGATGAGACGTATGTGGCGGCGGAGGCGGCGGAAGAGGGTGGTGATGGCGGTGGTGGTGATGTTGGTTGTGGTTGTGTAATGGTAGGGTTTGGGAAATTGAGAAGTGGTTGTGTTTGGGAATTGGATTAGGGTTGGGGATTTTGAAAGGGAAGAAGAAGAAGAAGAAGAATGAGTTAGGGTTAGGGTTTGGGGTTGAGGTTGAGTGAGTAAAGGTCTTTTATAAGGTGTAGCAGGAATGTGAGTGAGAATTGGGAGAGTTGGGTTGAAATCGGAAGAGATTCCAGTGCTTTCTTTTCCGATCTGAACTTCTGATTTCTTTTGATGCATTACATATGTGAGAAACTCTCTCTCTCTCTCTCTCTCTCTGTTTTCTATCTTTCTTTCTCTTTGATGCAAGTTTTCTTGCAGTTTCCTTCTTCTGTGGGTTTGTGTTTTTTTCTTTCTTTCTTTGTTTCTGGTTTGAACTTTGTTTCCGCTTTCTTTCTTTCTTTCTTTCTTTCTCTAATGTTTTTGTGCAAATCGGAGTGACTCTGTTTTTCTGTTTCTCTCTGCGTGTGTGTGCGTGAGATAGATAGAGAGACTTTCTAATTAACGAGTGGAATCGATGAATGATTGATTGTGTGTTCGGAAAGCGGTGCGCGTGCGAGGAGTTTAAGGTAGTGTATGAAATGAATTGAATGCGAAGAATGAACGGAGCAAAGAGAAGAGAAGAGACATATTTGAATGCGGAGGAGATGATGGTGAGATAATTGCAAAAAAAAAAAAAAAAAAAAAAAATACGAGACAAGATCAACTTATGTCATTGTAAAATTAATAATAATAAATCTTGTTGATTTTTGTGTATTTAACCGTTACAATTTATTAAAAATTAATAATTAATTAATAAGTATGATTCAATAAATTATAATCATTAGATTTATGAAAATTAACTGTCAAAATTTAATATAAGTTATATTGTTGAAAAAATACAACTTTGGATATAAGTGATATAAGTTATCTAAAGTAACTTTAAATCCAAGTTATATTATGGGAAAAATATAAAACTAGTGTAAGTTTTATACATGAGTTTTATTAATCTCCTTCCACGTAAGATAGTTATCTTATGTGGTAGAGAGAAAATGAGTGGGTCCCACTATTACAAGAAAAAAGAAAAAGAAAAAAGTGGAGTGTGAAAATTGAAGTGAGAGAAAATGAGATAAGTTACCTCATGTAAAAAGAGAATAATATTTCCCTTTATACTTATGAAAAAAATGTTTGATTTTATAAAGGATATAATTTTAGAGATAAGATATTGTTATTACCGAGTAGTGTTATTTGTATTACTAATATCACTATCACTTTGTTTAACCGTTAGATTGATTATGTTGTTCTAAGGGTTCTGATTTAACTTTTTAAAAATATTCTTTTCTCTTTCTATATTTAATATTTATTTCTATCTTTGTATGGTTATAATTCCTCATATTTAATACTTTCACATTAAATATGTGGAATCATATTATACAAAAGTGAAAATAAATATAACCATTAGATCAATAAAATCGATCTAACGATAAACAAACTGGTAGTGGACATTGGTAATAACACTAATTGATAGTAACAATATCTTATCTTATGATTTTGTGCCAATTTAAATGAAACGACGTCATTTTTATACATAATTGGTAATTTTTTATATTCTCTCTCCTCCATAAAATTAGAAAGAGAAAGAAAATGGAAGAGAGAAAATATAAAAAATCACTAATTATACACCAAATGATATAAAGTTATATCATTTAAAAGGATATTTTTTTTAAAAAAAAATAAAGGATAAATATTTTTCCATATAGATATATATATATATATATATATATATATATATATATAATATAACATATATTACAGATTTTTTAATAATTATTTGATTAATTAAGTTCGAATATGATTATATGAAATGACAAATGTTTTTCTTTTCTTGATAGATACTATTTAATATATGAAAATTTAATGGTCTGATTAATTCAATTTTGAATTTGAGTTTTTATTATTATTTCCAAGTATTTGAATTTATTTATCCTCTCCAAGAATTGATATTCTCTAAATCAAGTTTATTAATTTTTGGACGGATAAAATTTTAAGGTTTAACTAAGACGCAATTAGACTAATAATTCTTGAATAAGCTATTCAAATTGGAATAATTTTTATTTTTTTTTAGAGAATTATATTGGAAGTTAAATTAAAAAGACAAATGAAAAGAAAAAGAAAGATTTGTCCCTTGGACGCGTCGTGGGTATGATTTTGGTGAGTTCGTTTGTCACTTTGTCTACATTTGAATTGACAAAGTCATCCGTCGAAAGAATAATGAAAAGAAATAAAAGAAGAATTGGCTTAGAAATAGTTTATTTGGGATTTAACAATTTGGTCAACAACAGTTTGTAGAATAAAATTTTAAAAATAAATAAATAATTCATTTGATTGCTACAGCATGTTAAACTAAAATTGTTTGTGGAAAACTTGTTACTTGGCCTACAAGTTTATGGCACAATATGATAAATTATTTTATCCGTACATGTTATTTCAAGTTTAATATATTATTTTAAGTTTTTAATATAATAAATAAAAATTTAAGTACACTTAAGATTAAATTAAATTGTTTTCCTTTTTTAAAAGAGTCTTTTAATGGATATTTTTGTAAGTATAAATGAATTAAGACAAGTATAGTTGCAATTTTATAAATTTTAATAAAGAGACTCATTTATAATTTAATATTTATATGCATTAATTTTTCCCCCCGAATATTTGTACTAACCTTGGGTTTAAGTCAATATCATAATTAATACTTACACGTGTAGTGACAAGCTAGAATTACATCTACATGGGCTTGTTTTTTTTTTTTTTTTTAAAAAGGAATTACATATGCTTAATTGGAAGAATTTTAAGATAGAAACTGACATAAAGGCCAGGAGAATAAATTAGACAAATAAAAAAATGATTGAAAAAACCAAACTCAAATGAGTCAAATCAAACTAACTCACATTTCCCTGTTTATTTTAAATTTAGGATAGGATAAATTTATATCAGTGTAAGAATAATAAGTCATACACCAAATTTTAATTATTAATTTTCATGAATTTAATTGTTATAATTTATTGAGAATTAATAATTAATTAATAAATATGACTTAATAAATTATAACAGTTGGATTCATAATATATAAAATTTATTATTCTTATACCGGTATAAGTTGATATTGCCATTTTTAATTTTTTGCATTTTTGTATTTATTTTCATTTTTGGGACCTAATCCCTTAACAGACTCATTAACATAACCCAGCCCACAAACTGAAGACTCTTCCCAATCTTAAACCTCAATTGAGTAAAATCTAACCCAACACATCATGGACTAAATTAAGAGGACACAATTTACCGAAAAAAACAAAAAACAGAAAAGAGGACACAACAAAAAACCAAAAGGGAGAATGGGACTCACATTCCAGGGCTTTTATAACAAGGATCATGATAGACAATGACTAGGAAATTTTGTAAAAAAAAAAAAAGAGAGTAAAGGAAGCAAAAGTTACATTAATTTAGATAAGGTAATATAATAATAAATTAATACTTAGTCAAATTTGAAAAATTCTCATTTATTTTTTCATATATTAAAAATAATAAGAACGAAAAACGCGAACACTGAGCTTAAAAAATATAAATTTATGCTAGGTTACTTTTATAAGATTGAATATGGTTTAAGACAAAAATTTACATCAACATGATGGGACAAATCCTAAATCCCTCCCTGGTTATCATTAATGGCAAGCAATTGCTGGAGCAGTGATGATTGATGTAAAAGGTGCCAACAACAATGGATATAACTCGGTTGTTAATACATGATAGGATAAGTAGAGTGGAGAAATAATCTAAAATGGGCGTTTGGTAAAGAAGAAATATTTTGATGTCTGGGAATCATGATTTCTAGGAATATGATGATAAAATAGATTACTTAGGAATATTGCAAAAAAGTTGTTTGGTATGACAAAATTTTACCAGAATTATTTGGTTAAATTTACTGAATGTGTGTTTGGTTTATGGTTTAATATTGATAGGAATGTTGGCCAAATTACAAAATAACTCTCCCCTCATCTCTCTTCGATATTTCCAGCATCGTACGAACCATACAAAGGAAAAGCAGGTTTTAGAGCAAATCTTTTTGTTGTTGTTTCATCAACATTTTCATTGCATCTGCAAGCAATGGATCGGGTGAACAAGGCAAATAACGTACAAAATAACCATTAACTCAAAAAGAGTGAAAAATAAATGAACTTCTACAAATATGGTTCCAAACCACACATAAATCACAAAACACAAACCATGAACATAACTCAAGAAAACTCACGGAGATCTAAGGAGGTGAGTATGTCGAAGGAGGTGAGTAGACAAGTTGTCAAAATGGAAGGGCAGACACGTCCAAAAATTCTAGACTACAATTTCTTATTTCCGGTAATTCACAAATATCACACTTTCGGAGGTAATTTCAGAACGGAAACTGATCACAATTTCTTCACAACTTTATTTTCTAGGTAAATTGGATACCAAGGCAAATAATGACAAATCTCCTACCAAACATGGTAAAGGCAATACCCACATCACTTTTCCTGGCATTTTCACAAATATACCTCTACCAAACAGGCTGTAAGTTTAATTTTTACTAAATATATAGAGGAGTAATGAACTTTAATTGTGACTAAGTAAGGTCCTGATTTAAAATTAGTCTCATAATTAGCTAAAAAATGATAAATATTTGTTACTTACTAGCTATAATAATTTTCATATATTCCATATTTTTTTTTTATAGTTATACACATGAAAATTATTATAGCCATTATCATGAAATTTTCATATATTCAAAGGTCCTGATTCCATATTTTCAAAATAAATAAATAGTAAATACCTTTTTTGGTCCCTAACAAAAAACACAGTCCCCACTTTAGTCTCTTACAAAAACAAATTAGTCAGTTAGTCGTTAAAAAATTCAAAGTGAACCTATTTAGTTGAAATCGTGATCTAACAAATTCAAAAAAGACCCATATTAGTCACTCAAAAAGACTAAAATAGGTCTACTTTGAACTTGTTAGGGACTAACTGACTAATTTATTTTTGTAAGGGACTAAAGTGGAGACCGTATTTTTTTGTAAAGCAAAAAACGGGTATTTACTCATAAATAAATAAAAGTATTACTTTATTCTGCACGAATGCAAAATGGTCAATTTCACAATTATTCACTCACTCATTGTAACACTCTCTCTCTCTCTCTCTGCCACTCTTTTTATCTCCTCGGTTTACGCTAAGCATTTGCAGATTGAATTTCACTTTGAAGGGTATTGTTTCTGCTTAATCACATGTTATGATCCTTCTTCTAGGTTTTATTTTGATTGTTGGTTAATTTTGTGTTCTTTTATAGTACTCACAAGCTTAAAAAAGAAAATTGAGTAGTAAGATGGCATTGGTTTCTTTCTGCAGTACTTTCTCAATTATCAAAAGTTTCTACTTTATTATTTTTTTTTTTTGTAATATCTTGTTGATTTTTTTTTTATTATTTATTTTGAGATGGATGTATCAGCCTTAGTTCTTTCTCTAAAATGTTGAGTACTGGGAGTGTTAGTTTCTGCAGTTTTATTTTATTTTATTTTATTTTTTCAATTTTTTAGGTGAAAAACCGTTAAAATTGTAAAAACTAGAAAGGTAGCTCTCTAGCTTTCACTTCCCATTTTTGGTTTCCTATAGAGTTTTCTTGTTTGTTTTGCTTGCCAGAATTGTCTTGCATTTGAATTTCATTATTTATATTTCTAAATTCTATGTTCTTTTGCTCTTTCCCTTTCTGCATGTTACTTTTTTGGCCTTATCAATTGCCAATGGATCAGTTTTATTTTCAAATAAATAGAATTGACCCAAAAATTCTTGTTTCAAATGAAGTGTCTGAACTATATGGTAAACTGATTGTTTGTTTGTCTTTTTGTTTCAGCAAAAGGGAAAAGGGAGAGAATCAAGCCCTTTGTTGAGCACAATGAGTGCAGTTCACATTTGTCTTAGCTATTCAATTTCTCAATCATCTCACAAAGTTATTAGGAAAGTTTTCAATTTGGAGAGAGAAAGCATATTGTTGGGAGGAAGACCAGTTATTCAAATTAATTGCAGGAGGGCTGTGAATGCATGTCTTAATGTTGATGTTGATGCTACTAATGCTGGTAAGATAGCATTGGAGAAGACTAAGGCAGTGATTGAAATGGAAGGGAAGTTTTTGGTGGGGACATATGCAAGAGCACCGGTGGTGCTTGAGAGGGGGAAAGGTTGTAAGTTGTATGATGTTGAAGGTCGAGAATATTTAGATCTGAGTGCTGGGATTGCTGTCAATGCACTAGGGCATGTGGATGCAGACTGGTTGAAAGCTGTTGTAGAACAAGCTGGTACCCTTACTCATACCAGCAATGTTTTCTACTCAATACCTCAGGTTTGGGAAATGCTATTATTTTTCTGTTTGTGAATTATTTCTAATTTGTCTTTGATTGCATGGAAATAATGGAATATTTTATATTTACCTCTCATCTCAATACCTTAGGTCAGTTAGGTGTCTGCGTGTGATGATTTATCATTTTCTATCTGAGTTATCTCTATATTGTCTTCAATTCGGTTAGAAATCATAAATTTTTTATAATAAGCTACTGTTGTTTTCTTGATTTGTTTAAATTAAGACACTAGTCTTCTTAGAAACATGTAAGCAAGGCAAGGCAACAAGTTTGCTATTTGTTTAATGGGGAAGGATATTGTGACAACCAAGTTGTGTCACTACTAAGTGACTACCAATTAATCTCACCGTTAGATCGATTATGTGGATCCAACGGTTATATTTATTTCCATCTTTGTATGGTCATGGTTTCTCAAATTTAAAGTGAAAGCATTAAATATGGGAAATCATAACCATACAAAGGTGGAAATAAATATAAAGTATTAAATTTGAGAAACCATAACCATACAAAGATGAAAATAAATATAACCGTTGGATCAACATAATCGATCTAATGGTGAGATTAATTAGTAGTCACTTGGTAGTAACACAACTTGGTTGTCACAATATCCTTCCCCTTGTTTAATTAGTTGTTTATTATAAACAATTCAAACTTCCATACTTTTGCCTTGTTTTGGATTGCTTCTATCTGTGCAAGGGATGCTTTCTCTTATAAATGCTTTTAAGAGAATTTGTTTTTCAACATCAGGGTTGGATCTTTAGAGGTGGGAACGGTGATTAAATTATTTATGATTTCCTTAATATGGTGTGTGTCAACTATTATTTTGGCTTTAATGGTAATTCTGGAAGTACTATTTTACTGACTTCAGAATGACAAAGGTGTGCTGATGACAAGGAATAGATTGGAAATTGTGTGCACACTTTAGTTTGATTGATGGAACTTGGTTCCCTGAATGGTGATGTACTGTATCTTCTAACGAAAGGAAATTTTCAGGATTGAAGATGTGTTCTGTACTGAACCGTTTGCTCAATGAAGAGAAATCAGTTATCTTTATCAAGCTTTAGTAAACCTCGAGTATAGTGCTTACAAAATTTAGTGATTCTACAGATTAGAGTTTTTCTAGAACTCTAGCAGGGAAAAGGAAAGTAAACCAAAGTAAATTATTGAAAAACAAAACCCCAAATGAAACATAGTGCATGTTACATTGTCCATATGTGAGAGAATAATATAAACCATTAAAAAGAGCCTTCTACTATGTCTCCCGGTTGCAATCGAGTAGCTTAAGCTTTTGGGTTAAATTGGTTCTTTACATGGTATCAGAGCTTCAGTAACCATAAGGTCACGAGTTCAATCCTCACCGCCTCTCACTTGTGGAATTAAATAAGCATAAGGTAAAACAAAAAAAAAAGTTGGGCCTATGCAATATCCACATTTCAAGCCCAAAGAGCCCCAAAAACGCTATGGGGATTGTAGTTGCAGAAATAGCAGAATAGACATATGACAGAAATAATGACAAAAAGAAACATTTTTTAAAAGGCAGAGATAACAGAAGTGACAGAGAGAGAGGTAGACAAACTAAAAAGGACCAAAAAATCCTCAAAATTGTTCTGTTACACATTTAAAATGAGGACAAAATTGATATTTTGCCTTATGATCGCAATGTGGCTGCAATTTGGCGGCAAATGCAGCTTGGCGCAGTTTCTTGCGGCGAGGCACCGCAACGTGCATACGGCGCGGCTCGTGGCGCTATTGTGGCGCAATTAGCTACTATGATTAGAAATACTGCATAAAGTGTTAAAAAATTAATTTACACCCTTTACCAATTTTAGACTCTACTGTTCATAGAACCAAGTGTATTGTATTTGTCCCAATATCAAAATTCCTTTCCTCCCCTTGCATGTTTGTGTGAATGTTAGTCAATCTCGCTTTATTAAGATCCTCCCTCCTTAAAATTATAGTCTGAGATTTCAGCTGCCATACTTCATTGCATTTTGGAGATTGCAGATAAAGAGATTGTCGTTGATCATTTGGTTTCTAATTCACTCTTTCGTTGTATCTTCATTATTAAAATATAGGAAAAACAGCTTGTTAAGAATTTCTGCTTGATCTAGTAAGCATACAACTGTAACGTTATCATGCATGTCTATGTTATAGATTTATGTTTGCATCTATTTATTTATAATTGTTTATAGTTCTTTCATTATGCTTTGCTTTAGTTCATATCTTGTAGCAGCATGTTATATGTCTGCACATCGTTTCGTTACACCTTTATCTATTTCTTTAATTATTTTGGGATTGATGCAGGTGGAACTTGCAAAGCGTCTAGTGGCTTGTTCTTTTGCTGACCGTGTATTCTTTACGAACTCTGGAACTGAAGCAAATGAAGCAGCTATAAAATTTGCAAGAAAGTATCAAAGACACACAAGTAGTAATGGGAAAGTGCCAGCACCAGAGTTTATAGCTTTTAGTAATTGCTTCCATGGGAGAACCCTTGGTGCACTTGCTTTGACTAGTAAAGAGCATTACAGAGCACCTTTTGAACCTGTTATGCCTGGAGTGACCTTTTTAGAGTATGGAAATGCACAGGCCGCAATAGAATTAATTAAGCAAGGAAAGATTGCTGCAGTTTTTGTGGAACCCATCCAAGGAGAAGGTGGAATTTACAGTGCCACAAAAGAATTTCTAGAATCTCTACGAAATGCTTGTGATGAAACTGGGGCACTTCTTGTGTTTGATGAGGTATCCACCATCTAATATTGATATGTAACTCTGAGAAAATGCCTTCTGTTAATGAAAATTTTTAAACAGAAATTTGCATGTGTAACAGCACAGGCAAAGACACAAAATTGGTTTTTACTTTTAAATATTTTTCCAGTTGCATTATGATGCTTTGCAAAAGATTGTCTGGTATCTTACTCTTGATTACATCGTTGCTGGAAATGATTGGTTGGTTTATCTTTACATTTTTTTTTAATTATTATTAATTGAAAGATAGTGATAATGAGATTGTCTGATTCCTTGACCTTCTAGTGAATCTGCAGAAATTTCTTATTTGATTGAGAGACAAAGTATAGCTGTCATATTTCGAATTATATTTATAGCATCATATATTTAATCATTCCACTTGGATATTAATATTATTCTACTTAACTGTCCTATGTTTTATGTGAATTTGTAGGTACAATGCGGTTTAGGCCGAACAGGGTTTCTTTGGGCCCATGAGGCATATGGTGTCTTCCCAGATATGATGACCCTTGCAAAGCCTCTTGCTGGAGGTCTACCTATTGGAGTAGTCCTAGTGACAGAGAGAATTGCTTCTGCTATAAATTATGGCGACCATGGAAGCACTTTTGCTGGAAATCTTCTTGTTTGTAGTGCTGCTCTTGCTGTTTTGGATAAAATATCAAAAGCAGATTTCTTGTCTGCTGTATCAAAGAAAGGCCTCTACTTCAAAGAGTTACTTAAGCAGAAGTTAGGAGGAAACCGACACGTGAAAGAGATTCGCGGCCTTGGGCTAATTATAGGAATTGATTTAGATGTATCTGCCTCACCCCTTGTAGAGGCATGCAGAAATTCTGGCCTTTTAATATTAACTGCCGGAAAAGGAAATGTTGTTAGGCTTGTTCCACCATTAATCATAAGAGAGCAGGAGCTTGAACAAGCTGCTGATATTTTGTGCCAAACTTTATCAGTTCTTGATGAGAATAATCAAAACTAGGAGTGTAGGAGAAAGAGGATTGCCCTCTTACTTGCAAGTAGAACTTATTTGGTTGTGTTGTTGTTGACTTAGCTGAAAGTCTTGGATGACCAAACCTTGAACTATAATTGCCTGAAGATGTTGTAGCCATGGTAATAAAATTGTAGCAAGGCTGTACCATATTTTGTGAATAATGTGTGGCTGATCAGATGGTTTACACTTTACAGTTTACATAGTGTATTCTCTTTATGTTACAAATTTGTTTGTGCCCATTACAAAAAAAAAAAGCTTCTCATAGCTTATAATGAACTTATATATTGATAACTTCATGGAATCTTGGTTTCAGTTTTATAAATTAGAGCTTTCCTTGAACCCTAACAGGGAAAAAAAAGGATATTATTAAATTTGATGCTAAGGTGATAGAAAAAAAATTCCGTAATGAAAATAGAATGTTATTTCACACACAGGCAAACGCGCATACACAAGCATTCAAATATATATAGGTAGGGGTGAAACTGGGTCAGGCTGGCCTGCAGGGGCCTATGACTTGGCCTACGTCAAAAGACCGAGCATGGGCCTTGAAAAAGCTTGTTTAATAAATAAGTTGCAGACCAACTTTCACAAGGCCTGGCCTATAAGCCTACAGATCGGCCTATATTGTACTATTTATTTTAAATAAAATAAAATAAGTATGCCTTGAACAAAAAACAAAAGATATAAATTTAATCAATTGCAATTATTTATAACTCAATTATATTCGGCTATATTTTAATAGAAATCTGACTTTATTTCTTATGTAGGAGGAACCAATATCTCAACATGTTAGATTGTATATATGAATATGTTAAAATATTTTTGGGAGAAGTTATACTTACTACAAGCATCATGATGTGTTTGTTGGATTCATATAGTTATTTTAATTTACATAGTATGAATTGGTTTGTTGGAGCTGATGAAATATATGTTATTTAGTTTGAGCATTTTGCTTTTGAAAGTGACTTAAATGCAGATTGTGATGAGTTTTGTTGTGATTCATGATTCTGTTTGGACGTTGAAATTGTGATTTTTGGTTTAGCAACAGAATTTGAGTATTTTGTGAAGTTGATTCATGGTTCTGCTTGAAAGTTAAAAATTAACAGGCTAATGGGCTAAGTCAGGCTATTTGTTTTTTTAGAAACGGGTCAAGTCAGGCTAACAGTTAGACTCGTACAAGGCTTGGGCCAGGCTAAATTAAATTTTTTTGGCATAGGCTTGGGCTTTACAGGGCAAAGCTTGGCCCAGCCCAGCCCACTTTCAGCCCTATATATAGGAAATGGTATATTTTTAATCTCTTTTCGCTTACAATCTATTACAATTAAATTTTCACCGTTGATTTTCGTCAATCTGACGGTTATAATTTATTGAGAATTTATAATTAATTAATAAATGTGACTCAATAAATTATAACCGTCAAATTGACGAAAATCAACAACTAAGATTTGGTTGTAAGAGGTTGTAAGTGAAAAGAGATTATAAATATAATCTCCCTATATATATATATAAAATTTATTTGACAAGTATTAATGATACTATATATTATTAAATATTAATTATCAAATATAAAACTTCTTATTTGTAATCAAAATATTAGGTATTGAAGTTACTTAATAACAATGCTAATTATAAATCACTAATTGAGAAGAAAAATTACTTTGAAAAATAATTAAATTATATGAATACATTTAGTTGATAATCAAAGTTCGAATCCCGCTGGCCGATGTGAGGACCTTGGTGGTGGATGATCTGTAATCCCTCCCAAAAATTCTCAAAGAGGTTGGGAGGTCTGCCCTGACCCTGGTGTCTAACCTTATCTAAAAATTTTATTAATAATAAAAAAAAAGTTTGGAGACATTTTAATGATTTGAATGTATTTATAATTTCAAAAAGTTTAGGGTTTAGGCCCAAGACCATAATGACAATAAGCCAAGAAAAATTGAATCCTCACTAATACTCAATTAGAAAAGGCTACAGAGAAATGCAAAAGGAAACTATCTGCTTGGCAGGGGTGGACCCAGGTGGCCACCCCCCTCCCCCCTAAAATTTTTTTTGAATTTTTTTTAAGCTTTGTGAGTTTATGAGTTCAACGTAAAATCTGATCCTGTTTCTTTCCCCTATTTACTCTCACAATCTTAATGGCAAAAGCACCAGACTAAGAATGTTGCGTAAAAGATTTGTCCAGTTAAAACACATTTCATATGTTTTGCCAAACTAATGCAGTCAAATATGTACTTGAGTGAAACGGGATCGGTCCTGCACCAATATAATACGGGACTGGCAGACACATCAGCCAAATTGGGTCTAGCATGGCAGTCTCGCACCTGTTTTGGACGGGACTAATCCCGTAGTGATTTGATACGGGACTTTTTTCATGGACATTTATGGCTTTTAACATTCTAAATGAGAATGAATATATAACACCTTGTATTTGTAAATGTATAATTATATGTGATAATGTTGATTAAAAGGGAAAGACTAGTGAAAATCCTGAAATTAGGGCCAAAATACGTAAAAAGGGCAAAATGGTAATTTACCAAACACGTAACCCCAGGCATGAAAAATTGAGTAGAAGGTCTCAAATGGTAAAAATAATGCCGAAAATGGATTCAGGATGAAAAATCAAGTGGACAGGCAAGTTTCGAAAAATTTGATAAATAGTGATTTTATCGGTGTAAAATATTGCGGTATAATTGTACCGATATGCGTGAAAATATGATCAGTATTTTTAGGAAGTAAAAATATGATGTGAACGAGAAAAATACGTAAGATATGAATTTGTGGGTTAAAATGGATGATTTAAGAAAGTTAAAAGACATGTGAGACCCACTTAAGTGATTTAAGTAAGCAAGTGACCCCCTTTAATCTCAAAATTAGTTTCTCTCTTCTCTCTTTCTTCTTCGCCCTGTCGACCTACACCATTGAAGGGCAAGTTTTGGCTCTTTGATTTACAACTCCCTTTTCTAGCCACTTTTAGGAAAAACTTCCTACTACAAAGTTGTTCCTCACACTCTTGTGTATGACTTTCATGTAGAGTGCATCTTGTAGGGAGAATTGCGGAGGGAGAAAACCTCATAAATCAGCCACGAAAATTGTGACTCTTTCGAGAAATTTTGAGATTTTTGTGTTGAACCATTGGTTGAAGATCACTCCCTTGGACCATTGGAGGCTATTGGTGGTAAGATTTCACATTCTCATTTAGTTTTCCATGAGATCATAAATTGGGCGAGTGTTTTGAAGTTGTAAGTTGAGTTATGGTAGTTAGGAGCATTAAATGGTATGTCTCTTTTGAAATTAAATGCTTAGAATGATAAAGAGTAAATACCCTTTTTGGTCCTCAGCAAATTTTACGATGCCCGCTTTAGTCCCTAGCAAATAAAAAGGCCCATCGTGGTCCTTAAAAAATTCAAAATGAACCCATTTTAGTCCTTTTAGGGACTAATATGGGTCTTTTTTGAATTTGTGAGGGACTACGATTTCAACTAAATGAGTCCATTTTGAATTTCTTAGGGACCACGATTGGCCTTTTTATTTGCTAGGGACTAAAACGAGCATCGTGAAATTTGCTGAGGACCAAAAATGGTATTTACTCAATGATAAATGATGATGATTGATGCAATAAAAATTATTGTGATTTGGAAAATTATAACTTAGTGAAAATTGGAGTTGATATTGATGATTTTGTGAAATAACATGGTTGTAGGATGGTATGGTTGAGTTGTGGGGCATTAAGATGAAGTAATTACATGATTGTATGAGGTGTGTAAGGATGGAATTGAGTTAAAAACCTTGGGAGGTACTCCCTTGAGAAATTCGACCTATAATGGAAATTGGAGGAAATGGGAAGAAAAATATTATAAAAATCAATGATTGGTGCCTTGGTGCATAAATGGTTATGATATTGAGTTAGTTCAAGATTAAAATGATTGAGGTAGTTGAGATAAATAGAAAAATAGCGTTAGGCCTAAGTGATTATGTTTATGTATTAGTGTTGTGAATTGGTTGATTATTTGCAATTGGTTGATGGTCATTTTGTTGATCATATAGGTTGCCTCTCACGGACGCGATAGAAACGGACTAAGCTTGGAGCTTACGTGAGGAGCATTACTCTTGGAGTTGAGGTAAATTTTTTGAAACTTGGGTTTTAATCCCTTGTGTACTCCACCACACCTAGTGAAAGGTTGTGGTTGGATTCTGTGCTTTTGACATTGTGTGATTATGTATGTTCAAGCATTATTGCTTGATTGTGTGACATGCTTGGAGCATATTGTGTGACATATATGTGATCTCTGGCCAGTAGATGTATGTGGTTTGGACTTCCGCTGGAGATATCCTTTGGGGATTCCGGTCGGGTTTTGCCGTGGGGTCGACTCTGGGAGCGGCACCAGGATGATCCAAACGTGGGACTTTCGCTGGATAGGGCTCATGAGGAGTTCTAGTTGGGTTTTGCCATGGGGTCGTCTCATCCATGGGAGAGGCACCATGGAGCTTTCCAGGAATTATATGATGGGGTCCTTGAACAGAATCTTTATGTTGATGTTCTTGGATTTGTGCCTAGTTGTTTGTGATGTTGTATGTTAAGCATTTTTACATGATGTTATTTGTTGCACATTGAGTGAGCCATGGGGTGGAGTGATCCTCTAGTACCCTTGGTTTACTAAGATATATTTGTATATCTCACCTCACGTTTGAGGACATCATTTCAGGCTATAGTGAGCATGAAGGAGCTTCGGGCAAGAGGCTCGCTTAGTGGAGGAGTCGAGCATGATGTGCATTGGGAGGACATGACATTTTGGAGGACTATATTAGATGCACATAGCATAGTGTTTAGTATTTTGTACTTAGGTTATGAACATATTGCATGTTGATATTGCCATGCTTTTAGGTGTTCATAACTATATGCTAAGTCTTTGTAATTCATGTATATTTTATGCCTTTGATTGTGTTGGTATTTTGGTGAGCATGAGACTTGTCCATGACCATATATGTTGTAGTTTGAGGCATGGGAAGACTTATGATGTAAATTGGCCATTTGAGGTTTAAATGGCAATGGAATTGTGCAATATTGTAAACGATACATTGATTAATGAATATGCATGATGGAAGGGCCTAGAGCCTACATTAGATCTTGTGTAAGTTGTATCTTGGGTAGTGAAGTGTTAGGAGTGGATTACATCACCCTTTTTGTGATTTAAAAGCTGTCATCTGTCATTTTTATAGAAGGGTAATTGATTACCTTTCTTTGGTAATCAATTACCTGAAACAGGGGACGCAAAATGGAGCCACTGTGTTATAAGTAATCGATTATTTTTCCTTAGTAATCGATTACCTAGTTTAGTAATCGATTACCAAAAGATTGGTAATCGATTACCAAAAATAAGGGAGCCCAAAATTGGCTACTATCTTATTCTGGAGCCTTTGGTAATCGATTACCCAAAAATGGTAATCGATTACCACTGTGTAAAATTTTGAAAATATGTTTTCTGAAATCTAAAATAAAGGTAATCGATTACCATTGTGTAAAATTTTGAAAATATGTTTTCTGAAATCTAAAATAAATAGTATTGCTTGGAGAGATGATAATTAGTATGTTTTATGCTTCCGCAAGTTTTTGCATTTACAATTACGTCATTGTTTTAATTAGTTACGGAAATGAGTTATTGTTTAACAATGAGGATTTAATAAAGAAAAAAAGTTTACCCCTAATTTAATTAACTCAATTACTGTGATTGTAACTGCGCTTAATATCATATGCAATGATAACATTACCAGTACGTAACAGGCTGTTACAGAATGCATGCTTTCATGGCGTATTGTGTCATGCGTGAGACTGTTTCTTTATTTTTATTGAGTAATATCATAAAAATATTTATAAATTTTAAAACAAAGAAAGAGGAAAAGCAATGAGATCTGCAGAAATATGAAGTGCTGGTGCTCATAGACAATGTTGGTGCACAACATTTGAGAAAATATTGAAATAAAACCAAAAAAGAAAGGAACGGTCTCACACATGACACAACACGCCATGAAAGCATGCATTCATTCTTATTTGGATTGTTAAAAGTCATAATTGTTCTTCCCGTATCAAATCACTATGGGACTAGTCCCGTCCAAAACAGGTGCAGGACTGCTTTGCCTGACGTGCCTGTCAGTCCCGTATTATATTGGTGCGAGACTGATCCCGTATCACTTAGGTACATGTTTGACTGCATTAGTTTGGCAAAACATATGAAATATGTTTTGACTGAGCAAATCTTTTACCCAACATTCTTAGTCGGGTGCTTTTGCCCAATCTTAATTGGGTATGGAATTTATGAGTTCAATGCAAAATCTGATCCTGTTGTAAACTTATTAAATTCACCACAATATGTGATTATTTTTAATTTGTATTTGTTTGTGTAAGATCAAATTGTATGAGACAAAATAAATAGTGCTTTCAGCAATATTCTGGCAATTTGCGTTATGTCAATTGAGATCTATCAAAATGGCAAGATGGTTTTTCATGAACTCTTTGGAAAACATTTTACCTTAACAATGTGAATATTTGTTTTGCTTCTCAATGTCCTTGTTAAAATAGTTTATAGCCGGATTTAATTGCCATGTTTCAAAGAAATTCAATCTTGGCATGTGAAATATCAGTTTCGTACATTAATTTTCTAATGTTGCGATCTCTCCAAGTGAAGCCTAAACAGCCAGACTTCGAGGAGAGGAGAGACCTTTATATGCTATATCAATATTTATATCATTATAATCTCTTTGATTTTGGATACCGATCATCTTCCATGTCTATAATTGTTGATTATCTAGTATTTCTAAAAGCATAGAGTTGTATGCATTATTGACAAGTTTATAGGTTCTTTTCCAGTACATTTCAATACTTACATTTCCCTGCTCAGCTGACTCAATGAAATGGAGATTTGATTTGTAGCAATGCAAAGCCAATTAGTGTTGTTTTCTAAAGCTAGAGTAAGTTTACCTTATTACTTCACTCGATTTCCTTTACCTTCATTTTGATGATGAAAGAAACCATGAGAAGGGGGTTGAATCAAGTCGCCACTAACAACTTCTTTTGGCAAAATTCTGGTAAAGATGAACTATCTTATGTAAACTTAAGCTTGCTTATAATAGATTTGAATTTAAACCAAAAAGTAAAAGACTGCATCATAAAAAATTCACACAACTATTCAAGCATAAATATATAGAACTGAATGTTTTATAGACAACAAAAAAATACCTTTCTTTGTCTTGTCTCAAGACTTTATTTTACTTTGATTCCAGAGTCTATTATTTTTAGAAGTGATGCCGAAATAGTAATTCATCCTTTGAATAACTCGTTCCATTGTTCTGAATTTATTTGTTTACAATTCCTTTAAAGACATTTTATTGTTTGTTACTCATTGCATTACTCATTTCTACCCTGTCAAATATCAGTAAAGTATATCAAGTCATGAAGAGATTATTTAACTTATTTTCAAAGCTTTCGTTGTATCTATTGCTGGGTATTTTATTTGGCTTGGTGTCATTGACACTATCTTGGTGAGCATCATACATGTTACTATTGTTGACAATCTTCAAAAACCCGCTGGCATGCCAAGAGCTTCGTTCCATGTATTGGGAGGTTTATCAGTCGGGTTTACTCTCCCTACCTTTTACATTGTAGTGATTATTTTAATCATGAGAAAGGAAGAAATATTTGGTTTTTCACCTCCCACAGGAAAAAATCCTAGGTCCGCCATTGCGCTTAGGTACTATTTACCTACGGATATTACTGATAGGACATAAGAGTTTGATGTTTTCTTATGGCAGAGAAATTATGTGCTTATGTATTAGGCCAAAGAGTAACTATCAGAACAAAATGAATTCATCCACATCAAAGAGAGCATGGTGCAAAAGTCAAAATTTCAAAGTTATACATAAGAAATAAGGAAGATCTTACTTCCTTCAAGCTCAAAAATGGGAATGAGCAAACCAGCCAAGCTAACATTAACTACCACTTTTGCATTAGTGTGGTTTTTCTCCTTCTCATTTCATTTTCTTCTCTAGCCAAAAAATCAATGCCTAATTTCCTCCTTTTATAGGATTAGTCTTTTGTTTCCTTTTCTTTGTTAGAGAAATTAATGGATGTAAATTAGGGGATTTGATTGATTGTATTCATGTGTCAATATATCTCACAAAGAGGGCAATAAATTACCTAATATCTCTGATTGTGGGCAAAATAATTTGGCCCAATTATTGTATCACCTATTATTTATATTGAAGGGAACCCCTCTCCTCGATCATCACTGAGAGAGGGAGAAACATCATCAGTGTGGATGTAAGCCTAACGGCTAAACCATGATAAATTATGTGTCTTTTATTTTAACATTGTATATAGCTGGTTGAAAATCTTTTAAATTTACTAATTTTTTGAAGGCCTTCCCAAAATTACCCCTCAATTTAAATTTCTTTCCCTTCCAAATTCTTTCCCCAAACTACCCTCTACCCCCATCGACTAGGTTTTTCCTTAAATTTCAGCCACCGCCACCATGAAGGTCCTGCTTCGGTCAAACATGCTCTCGTTGTCCATCTAACGCCGACCAGAAGCATTTTTCGTTGTCCCAGTCACTGATCTCACTTCGTCGCTAATGTTCGTTGTCCATCGTCCTTCATCGTGCTTGCCTTGCACCAACACTGACGTACCAACTGCCTTTTTGGCTGATTAAGCTCCTTCCTCGACACCTGCCTTATTACCGTTGACATCTGCCCTATTAACCGCAGACATCGATTCTATTCTGCTGCGATCTGTTTGTGGCAATCTCGTGCCCGTGTGTGCCCCCACTGCTAGTGCAGTTCTATCCACCATCGCTGCGTCAGCCCACTGTCCACCAGGTCTCATGTTTCAGATCTGTCTTCAACTCCACTGGTTGCTATTTTTTTTTCAAATCAGGTCCTTTGAATCCAGTGGCTCCAGGCGTGTTTGGTGTGTCACTTTCAGGTTCTTTGGTTCATTACATCTTGTGTATTTTGTTCCGTTTTATTGGCTTTTTTTGTTGTGTTTGTTGGTTCCATGCCGACTTCAAATAGAATCGATGTCCCTAACATTGGACGCCTCACCATTATCCTTCTCGATGGTCAAAACTTTATGCCATGGAAGCACACTCTTATTGTTGCACTTGGTGGCCGCGCTAAAGAGTTTCATGTTACAGATCCAGCTCCGGCTAAGACAGACAGACGCCTCCTATGCAGCTTGTAAGGCGTCTGAAAATCAAGTACTAACATAGCTGTTCAACTCGATGGAGCTTGATGTCTATGAACTCTTTACATATTATGATATTTCCAAGGATCTTTGGGAATAAATTGCATAAGACTTTAGGTATGAACATAATGCCTCTCACATTTTTGAGCTTCAACAAGAGATTCACACGACGCATCAGCTCCTTATGCAATCATTCATTGATTACCTTGGCCAATTGAAGAAAAATGGGACGAGCTTCAACAATATCATCCCATTACATTGGCAGTGATTGACTATGTGACCCGAAAGGAGCAAGAATCAAGTATTTACTCTTCTTGCAGGCATCAAACCCAAATAAGAGTATCTCAAGCTCCAAATATTGATGACATCTCTATTCCATCCTTTACAACTGTATGTAACATCATACACCAAGAGGAGACACGATGTCGTGCCATGAGGCCAGTACTGCCCATTACTGGTGCACACAGACCACTATGTACACCATTTTTTTACTTGGAAAACTTCATTGCCAGGAACAGGTAACTCCTCCTCTTCCACATTTACAAGTAATATGGGTCGATCGGGTCTTAAGGGACGAGGCAGAGGTCATGGTAGCAATCGATATCACTATGATCTTTACAAAAAAGGTGGACTCTCCCGTGAATGATGTTGGCTTCTGCATCCCCATTTCAAAACCTCCACGGATTGCCCCATTGGTGCAAATAGTATTATTTCTCAACCATCGTCAAAGGAATTACCTGATGACCTCAAATCTACCTTGGGGTGACCTTGGCAACAATGAGAAACCTTCTGATACTAGTCACTTCATTCATGATGGTACGTACTTTGCCCTTACTAGTTTTTTTCCTCGATCCTTCATTATTGATTCAGGAGCTACTGAGCATATGTGTCCTAATTCTACCTTATTGAGTGATATATCTATTACTAATCGTGTTGCTCCTATAACTATTGCAGATAGAAATAAGGTTCCTGTTGTGGGTCTGGGAAAAATTAACTTATTTGACACACGATCAGATACACTATTTGTTCCATCTTTATCTGCTAATTTACTATCAGTTGCTAAACTTATACAAGATCTACATTGCGATGTTATATTTTCTGCAAAGAAGGTAATCTTTCAGGACACTCGCATCTGGAGGAAGATTGGGGAAGGTTCGTGTCAAAATGGCCTGTACTTGCTCCCCACATCAACTCTGGGCCTTTCTGCTGCTTGTAGGCCAAACTAATCCCAACTATAAAACTGGTGCATAGGTCATCCCTCTGATAAGATTTTGAATCATGTTAATTCCAAATTTGTTCTTGATTCTAGCACTTTACACATGTTATTTTTCAAAAGTTTATAGGTTACATTTTTGTAGTAGTGACCATGTTTCTTCTACAACTTTTGAACTTACGCAATATTTTTCAGGAATTTTATCAAATGATTAAAAATCAGAATGGGTTCAGTATTAAAATTATGCATAGCGACAATGGCACCAAATATGTTAATTATGCCCTACATACATTTCTTAAGTTTGTGGGAATTATTCATCAATTATTGTGTGTCGGTACACCTGAACAGAATGGCGTTGTCGAGCAAAAGAATCGACACCTATTGGAGGTAACTCGGTCTTTACTTTTTCATGGAAACATACCCTTTAAATTTTGGTCCAATGCAGTGCGCACCAATTGCTACCTAATCACCCACACCCAGAAATAGCTTCAGTACAAATCCCCTTTCGTAATACTCTATGGTCACGATACTCATCTTTTTCATTCACGAGTCTTTCGTTATGTATGCTTTGTTCACCTGCAAATACCAATAAATTGAACCTCGTGCCACTAATTGCATTTTCTTGGGATACTTGATTGTCAAAAAGGGATACAAGTGTTATGATGTTACTGCGAGGAAGCTATATATTTCTCGAGATGTTTTCTTTGATGAATGGTCTATGTACTTCTCTTCCCGGGATAAAAATCAGGGGGAGACTGGAACTACACAACTTGATTTTTCTCCCCGGCCAATCTCTTGTGAACCAACAAATGTAGTTGATCCAGTACCATCAGTAAATGTGTTACTAGATGAGGTATCACCAGCAGATGCAGTACCAGATATAGTACCACCCCTTCTTGATTTTCTTGAAGCCGACATATCAGCCACTGGTCCACCAGTAATACAAGATCAGTGATAACTCTCCAAAAGAGAGTTATTTTGGGCTTAATTGTGATGTTTTGGTGTTATGATTACATATAATTCTCTTGATTTTATATGATTAATGCATGAATTCTATGGTTTCATGATTTAATTGAGAATTATGTTAATTATGAGTATTTGGACATAAATTGAGGACTTGGAAACATTTAAATGCACTTCTTATTTTACTGCAGGTCAATGCTGTAGCATAGGGAAGCAGTGCTGTAGCAATGTAGATGAGGTCAGTAGTGCATATTTTTGACATCAGCACCAGCAAGCCATGGATCCAAGCCCAATTTGATGGAAGAAGCTTCTGAACGTGTACGAAAAGATCTGATTTGGATACACGCTCAAAATCATCAAGAAATCACAAGATAATCTTCATCAAATCAATGATTACAAATCAGATTCGAATCTGAATTGTAAATATGGAAAGAATCCTGTGAGATATGCCACAACACACTCTGTCAGCATGACAGCAAAACAGAGTATCAATTTCAATCTATCACAAGGAAGATTTGAGTGATGATTTGCATGGACAGAAAAAGATGATTGAAGCCCAGAATATCAAAGCTTATAAAGGAACGAACCCTACACAAAGAAAGACACAGTTGATATGTTTTGAGACACCCAATTGGAGGCAGTTTTAGAGAGAAAAAGTGGAAGAAACACTTGGGAGGAATTTGAGGGTTCGTTGGGAGAAATCTCGCGAATCAAAGGAGGGAGCTGAAGTTCAATTTAGAGATCATTGAACCCAGTAACTTGCTGCACTATTCCGGCGGCTGAGGCAAGGTTAATAGTGGTGGAGCTCATGGATGCTGCGAGAGCAGTGCTACAACAACATCCCTGTTTTCTTTACTTTAGTTTTATGGAGTCTTATTCTTTCCTTGTTGTTTCTGTCTACCCAATTATGGGCTAACTTATTAGGATTGGGTGATAGAGTACCCTTATTGTGATGTAAACAGTATTGCCTAAACTTTGCTGCATGATTTTCCTTTCGGTTGCTTAATAAAGTGTTATATTTTCTTTAATCTTGTTGATTCATCGAGAGAGAGGGTTGCAAGATAATTAGGATTTATGCTATAGAGATATAGGTAATTCCTGAATGTTATTAAGCATTGTGGTTTAGCTAAGTAACATTAGTTAATTGTGAGAGATCACTTGCACCACAAAATCAAACGGAACTTGAACTTAATGAGTTCATAACTTTGTTGGCCATAGAGATGTGGGACTTAGTATACATGTATTGTTGGTAAGAGCCCTTGCATGCATTGGTGTTCCGATTACTGTTTGGATAATTGTTGTAGCATGGTTACTGCATTGTAGTGAAATTGCAATAATGGAAAAATTGATCCCAATCTGTCTTGATACATTTGAAACACTTCTTTTGCTACTGAACCCTTGTTAGTTAATCAGTAGTCTTAGTTTACTTTACTTTACTTCTTAAGTGTTAATTTAGTCAATAGTTTCTCAACAAATCATCTTTGTTACCTTGGTTGCTTCACGAAAGCTATAGCATTATATAATCTCTGTGGGAACGATATCTGGACTCACACATCCATTTTATTATTTGTTGATACGTGCATTTGCGTACTTGTGTGATTTAATTGATTGCGAAATTGCACAACAAGTTTTTGGCGCCATTGCCGGGGATTATTATAAAGCTATTTTCTTTTTGTGAAGTGATATTTAAATCCTATATTCTTTCTGTCCCATCAGGTGTTCCAGCTAGTATATGAACATACCTCCTAATCATTCAGAAGTTTCATTTGATCCAGAGATTGAAAGAACTTTTCGAGCAAGGAGAAGGAGGCAGAGACAGAACAGAGCTGCAATACCTAGAACTGCAGACATGAAAGTAGAAGGATCTGTGAATGGGGATGAACGAGATGAGACACCTATTAGATCACATGGAGTCCCCACACTCAATAATCTCTACTCGGGGATTGTGCAACCTGAGGTTGCAGCAGCAAACTTTGAGTTGAAACCCGTGATGTTCAGCATGCTGCAAACAATTGGCCAGTACAATGGAATGCCAAGTGAAGACCCACATCTGCACTTGAAAAATTTCATAGACGTGGTAGATAGCTTCAAAATACAAGGAGTCACAACTGATGCAATAAAGTTGAAGCTATTTCCTTATTCATTAGCCAACAGGGCTAAGGCTTGGTTGAGCACTTTAGCCCCTAATTCAATAAGAAGATGAGAAGATTTGGCTGAAAAGTTCTTAGTCAAGTTCTTTCCTCCAGTCAAGGCAGCTCAACTAAGGAGTGGGATCACATCATTCCAGCAGAAAGAAGGAGAATCATTATATGAAAGCTGGGATAGATTCAAAGAACTGCTTCGGAAGTGCCCCAACCATGGCATACCCGAATGGCTTCAGATGGAAACCTTCTACAATGGGCCTAAATGAGCAAACTCGTGGCATAGTAGATGCATCATTTGGAGGATCCCTCTTGGATAAGACATTCACAGAAGCTTACCAAATTTTTGAGAGGATGGCAAATAACAACTACAATGGCCATCTGAGAGGACAATTGCACAGCAGAAGGCTGTAGGAGTGCTCGAGCTGGATGCTATATCATCACTATCAGCACATTTCCTTTTTGACTAGTACCCTCAAAAATTTGAATCTGAGCACTGATGCTAAAGCACAGCCACAACAAGCACATGCTATTTCTAATACTTCTAATGTTGTAACATGTGTTTTCTGTAGTGGTCCCCATAGTTATGATGATTGCCCTCAAAATCCTCAATCAGTGTTTTTTTGTAGGAAATTACAACAGGAACAATCAATATTCAAATTCCTACAATCAAGGATGGAGGAACAACGACAACTTGCCTTATTCTCAAGGGCAACAACAAGGATCAGGCTATGCTCCAGCATAGTAGATGCAAAGGCCACCATTTCAGCAGCAGCAGCAATACCAACAAACTAGACAGCAATCTGACAACTCTAGTTCGTTGGAGAATATGCTGAAAGACTTCATGGCAAGGAATGATGCCACTGTTCAGAGTCAATCAGCATCAATAAAGAACTTGGAGAATCAAGTAGGCAGTTAGCTGATGCTATGAGAAGCAGACCCATAGGCACATTGCCTAGCAACACTGAAAATCCAAGATAAGAAGGAAATGAGCAGATCAAGGCTACATCATTAAGGAATGGAAAGGCTGTATATGAACCATACCATATTAAAGACTACCACAAAATGAAGGAGTCAGAAGGCCAGAATGCAGGAGAGAAGGTTGTTGTGGAAGAAGATATTGGAGAGCAACAGGTTGACAATCAGACTAAAAGTCCAGAACAGAATGCTGCAGCAAAGAAGCAGCAGAGTCAGCCTGCTGACAAAGCAAGTAGACCACCACCTCCTTTTCCTCAGAGGCTTCATAAGCAGCAAGATGACAAGCAATTCAAAAGGTTCATGGACGTGCTAAAGCAATTGCATATCAATGTTCCATTGGTAGAGGCTCTTGAATAGATGCCTAGCTATGCAAAGTTCATGAAAGACATCTTGTCAAGAAAAAAAGGGAGTCAAGGAGTATGAGACAGTAGCCCTCACCCAAGAAAGTAATAGGTTCTTGAACAAGTTACCACCTAAATTGAAAGATCCAGGGATTTTCACAATCCCTTGTTCAATTGGTAACACCTATGTTGGTCAGGCACTATGTGATCTTGGTGCATCCATCAATTTGATGCCTAAGAGTATTTTCACCAAATTGGGAATCAGAGAAGCACGTCCAACCACTGTCACCCTACAACTTGCTGACAGATCCATCACTTACCCTGAAGGAAAAATTGAAAATGTGTTGGTAAGAGTGGATAAATTTATATTTCCTGCTGACTTCAATGTTCTTGATTTTGAAGCAGATAGGGAGGTACCCTTGCTCTTGGGTAGACCATTCTTAGCTACTGGAAGAACTTTTATTGATGTTGAAAAAGGAGCTCTGACTATGAGAGTCAACAATGAGCAGATAACTTTTAATGTGTTAAATGCTTTGAAGTATCTAAGTCAGAAGGAGGAGTGTGCTGCAATAGAGGATGCTGATGAACAGTTGCTATAGCAACAGGAATCAGAAAATGAGAAGGAGCCCTTGGAGATTGCTATAGCAGAAGAAGGTGCAATTGACAAAGAGGAGGTAGAAGCATGTTTAGCTTGGATTGATACCCAACCAGTAATGCCATTCAGAGAGAGACACTTTGAATCTCTGAACTTGTCGGAAAGAAAAACTCAATCACCAAAGCCTTCAGTTGAGGAACCACCAGTGCTGGAGCTTAAGCCACTGCCTGATCATTTGAGAAATGCATACTTGGGAGAAAATGATACTCTGCTTGTAATAATCTCATCTCAATTGACCAAGTTGCAGGAGGAACAGTTGCTAGGGGTTCTGAAGAAACACAAAACAACATTGGGGTGGACCATTGCTGATATAAAAGGCGTAAGTCTGTCACTGTGTATGCACAGAATTTTGCTGGAAGAAGGCTATAGCAGTACTGTACAACATCAGAGGAGGCTGAATCCTATGATGAAGGAAGTTGTGAAGAAAGAAGTCATAAAATGGCTAGATGCAGGAGTGATATACCCTATTTCAGATAGTCAATGGGTGAGTCCAGTCCAATGTGTCCCTAAAAAAGGAGGAATTACAGTGGTGGAAAATGAAAATAATGAGCTGATATCTACAAGAACTATAACAGGATGGAGAATTTGCATGGACTATAGGAAACTGAATGATGCAACAAGGAAGGATCACTTCCCCTTGCCTTTCATTGATCAGATGCTGGATAGACTTGCAAGGAAGGAGTTCTATTACTTTTTAGATAGGTACTCAGGCTATAATCAGATTGCTATAGCACCTGAAGACCAGAACAAGAATACTTTCACCTGCCCTTATGGCACCTTTGCATTCAGAAGGATGCCATTTGGCCTGTGTAATGCTCCACCAACCTTCCAGCGTCGTATGATGGCTATATCCACAGATATGGTTGAAGACTTTGTGGAAATATTCATGGATGATTTCTCAGTTTTTGGGGAGTCATTTACTTCATGTCTTGCCAACCTATCAGATGTACTTCAGAGATATGAAGACACTAATCTCATACTCAATTGGGAGAAGTGTCATTTCATGGTCAGAGAAGGCATAGTCTTGGGTCACAAGATCTCAAAGGAAGGGCTGGAAGTGGATAAAGCCAAGGTTTCAGTGATTGAGAAGCTGCCCATACCCATTAATGTGAAAGGAATCAGAAGCTTTTTGGGGCATGCTGGATTTTACAGAAGATTCATCAAAGACTTCTCGAAAATTTCAAGGCCACTTTGCAGATTGCTGGAGCAGAATGCACCATTCATTATAGATGAGGATTGCAAGGCAGCCTTTGAAGAATTGAAAAAGAAACTGGTCACAACACCTATCATAGTAGCTCCCGATTGGAGTCTACCATTTGAAATGATGTGTGATGCTAGTGAGCATGCTATTGGAGCAGTGTTGGGACAGAGACACATCAAAGTGTTTCATCCCATTTATTATGCTAGCAAAACACTCACAGAAGCTCAGCTCAATTATACAGTCACTGAAAAAGAATTATTGGCTGTGGTTTATGCTTTTGAGAAATTCAGATCTTATTTGTTTGGTGCTAAAGTGACTGTTTATACTGACCATGCAGCTATCAAGTACTTAGTAGACAAGAAGGACTCAAAACCAAGGCTAATCAGGTGGATGCTCTTGCTACAAGAATTTGATTTGGAGATAAAAGACAAGAAGGGCACAGAGAATCAAGTGGCAGACCACTTATCAAGGTTGGATGAAGGAAAAGCAGATAAGCATGACGAGCAAATCAAGGATGCATTTCCAGATGAACAACTCTTTGCCATTACCATTGCTACAACACCAAGGTATGCTGATATTGCAAACTACATAGTGAGTGGAATTCTGCCCAACAACATGAGTTCACAGCAAAGGAGGAAGTTCATCCATGATTGCAAATACTACCTCTGGGATGAACCATACCTATTCAAGAGATGCCCTGATCAAATCATAAGAAGATGCGTACCTGAAGGAGAAATACAAGCCATATTGGAGCATTGTCATTCATCTCCATATGGAAGTCACTATGCTGGAGTCAGAACTGCAGCAAAGATTCTACAATCTGGTTTTTACTGGCCTAACATTTTTAAAGATTCACATTCTTTTGTTTCAGGTTGTGATAGATGCCAAAGGACTGGAAATGTGTCAAGAAGGCATGAAATGCCCCTCAACCCTATTCTTGAGGTGGAACTGTTTGATGTTTGGGGGCTGGATTTCATGGGACCATTCCCACCATCATTTGGAAATCAATACATTCTAGTGGTTGTGGACTATGTGTCCAAATGGGTGGAAGCCGTGGCATTACCCACCAATGATTCAAAAGTTGTGTGGAAATTCCTCAAAAAGAACATCTTCACAAGGTTTGGCACACCAAGGGCAATTATCAGTGATGAAGGATCCCATTTCTGCAGCAAACAATTTGAACATCTGTTAGCAAAATATGGGGTCAGACACAAGATTGCTACAGCATACCACCCTCAGACCAGTGGGCAGGTTGAAGTGTCCAATAGAGAAATCAAGAGGATATTGGAGAAGGTGGTAAATCCTACAAGGAGAGACTGGTCACTAAGGTTGGATGATTCTTTATGGGCATACAGGACTGCATACAAGACTGCCTTAGGTGCATCACCATTCAAAATTGTGTATGGGAAGGCATGCCATCTTCTTGTGGAGCTGGAGCATAGTGCTTATTGGGCAATAACCAAGCTGAATTTGGATGCTAAAGCAGCAGGGGAAAACAGAATGCTGCAGCTTAATGACCTTGATGAATTCAGGCTAGACTCATATGAAAATGCCAAGTTGTATAAAGAGAAGATCAAAAAATGGCATGACAAAAATATTCTGCATAGGTGCTTTGAGCAAGGAGAGCAAGTGCTACTATTCAATTCAAGGCTCAAGTTATTTCCAGGAAAACTTAAGTCAAAGGGGTCAGGACCTTTTAGAGTGGTCCAAGCATTCCCACATGGAGCTGTTGAAGTTATGAGCGAAAAAGGGGGAGACACATTCAAAGTTAATGGCCAACGACTTAAGCATTATTGGGGAGGTCATGCAGACAAGGAGAAGTTTGTTATCTCCTTGGGAGAGCCTAATTGAGTCCAAGAAAGAGCAAGTCAGGCTGAAGACTTAAAATCAAGCGCTCTAGGGAGGCAACACTAGGATACTAGCAATTCATTTTGATTTAATTAAGCATTTTCATTAATTTTGTCAATTAGGAAGCATGTGATTTAATTCTAAGTTCTTAATTTCTGGGATCAGATAAAAAAAGGGAAAGAAATGCAACGCTGTAGTAATGTCACAGCATAATCACAGGCTACAACAAAGGAGTTGTGGGCCAGGAAGAAATTGGGCCGCGCTAGGCCACTGAAAGTGGAGGAAAGACCCAGAGGATGCTACACCGTGGGTTCTGCTGATTAACCCAACAGGATCGTTGAGCATTTAAAACTGGAACGTTGGAGGAGAGAGGTAATCATTCCCTGCGGTTGAGCAGTTATTTGGGCCAATAGAAATGCTGCAAATGGCCCTGAAGCAGTTATAAAAAGCTGCCAACGTCCTTACATCCTTATCTCCTCTATGATAGTGCAAAAAGTACCCATTTTCTCTTCATTTTTATTTTCTCTCAATCCTGAAAGAAACTCCAGGTTGTTCCAAAGAGCCAAAGTGAGAAATTGAGTTTGGAGTCCCCATTGTCAATCACAACCGAGAGCAAACAACTGAGTTTGGAGTCATAGCAATGGAAGGCACATCAACAAGGAGTGGAGAGATAAGAGGGATGAACGTGAAACATTCTGGCACCCCTAAGAAAATGGAAGCCATACCCACCTTCATCAATGAACGGGCTGTAAAGAGGCATGGAGTTATGTTGAATAGGAATCTCCTCTCTGATAGAGGTTTTGTGCAAGTCAGCATCGACGCTGGGGCATATGACCCATACATCACCAACATCATCGCTACACATCAATGGGGGAAATTCTGTCTCCATGAAGATGAAGCAGTAATCCCTATTGTTAGGGAATTCTATGCAAACATGCCTCAGAGCAAATCCACTAAGGTTATGGTCAGAGGAACAAGTGTATCCTTCAGCAGTGCTACCATCAAGAGGGTGTACAACTTGCCCACCATTGTGGATGAGTATCAAGGTCTGAAGACCACCAATGATGAGGAATTTCTGAAACAAGTCCTTGAGGACTTGTGTGTGGAGGGGACGACATGGACTGTGTCGGCACAAAAGAGTCTCTCTTTTCTGAGATGTGCACTAAAGTCCGAAGCAAGGGTGTGGTACCATTTTTTGAAGAGTAGGCTAAAGCCTAATTCCCACACTGAGACTGTGAACAAGGAAAGAGCAATATTGCTCTCTTGTATTCTGGATGGAAGACCCTTTGATGTGGGTCGTATTATTCAAGCCGAAATTGTGGCTTGCTCCAAAATCGATACTGGCTACCTGTTCTTCCCTGGATTGATCACCCAGTTATGCCAGGAAGCCAATGTCCACATTGCTGATGATGAGGACCGGTTCCAGATCACAGAACCAATCAAACCCTACACCACTGAAAGGGTCAGCAAAAAGGAAAAAGGTACTTGCTGGAGAAACTATATCTTCACCAAAATCCCGAGGAAAGAATGCTGCAGCATCAACTTCCACAGTAGCAGGGGAAGAAGATTCAATCTGGCAGAAGAGGATCGAAGACAGACTGAAGAAGATTGAGAACGACCAAATGGAGACCAGGAAGGAAATCATGGATAAACTGAATAACATGGACAATTTCATCCTAGCTCAACTTGGTTTTCTCAAAGCTCTTGAACAGAAGGAAGGCCAGAGCAAGGCTGCAGCATCTGAAGAAGATGGAGAGGAGGAAAAAGAAGAAGGAGAAGAAGAAGAAGAAGTAGAAGAAGAAGAAGAGGATGAGGTAGCAGAAGAAGAAGAAAAAGAAGGAAAAGAAAATGAAGAAGAGGAAGAAGAAGGGGATAGTGATTGATCTCTTTTGATT